ACACACACACACACACACACACACACACACACACACACACACACACAGAGCTATCAGGAGATTTCCTCAGGTGCTCCCTGGGAGTTTTCAAACAAAAGCTGGGTGACCCCTTATTAAAAGATGTTGTGGGGTGGGGAGTGGTCCTTCTTCAGATACAAGTTGAACTTGAAGACCTCTAGGGGCTCTTAAATCCTGTTCCTCTTTCTGCCATGCTCACACCCACCCCCTCTTATAAAATGAGTGAGCCTATGGGCTCTTCTTGGTATTTGGAAAGGTGGCCTGGCATCCCCTTGTATTACAGTACGTTACAGCCTATCTCTGTGACCAGATAAGTCCCACTGAGAATTCAGAGTCTTTTGTGTATTCTGTGGATCACTGATTCTCAGTGTCGTATCAGTCTGGGGGTCTCTAAGGGTAGAGAGAACCCACTCGGCACCAAAACTTTGTGTGTGCACGAGCAAGGATGAGCCCCGAATAACAGGCTGTCCGTGCTCAGAGCAAAGAAAGACTCCAGGGCCAAGGAGGACCCCCAGACACTGTCCCAACCACTTGCCCGCTCAGGAGCTCTAACGTGTGTGTTTGTCTCCTCTGCAGGAACATGGGTGACCTTTGGAGGCCAGATCACCGATGAGGTAAGGATATTTCTCTTCTTCTGGGGTCCCCTCTGCTCCTACTTTCCTGCCCCTCCACAGCCTGCCCTGCATCCTCAGAGGGCTGTCCCTTCCATCTTTGGAATCCCATGCTCCCTTCAAGGCCCAGCTCAGGCGCCTTTCCTGCTCCCACACTTCCTTCCCACTGAAATGACTTCGGTTTGGCTTTCTATTTATTCATGTTTGTACATAGGCTCATGGATTTGAAGCTGGACAGGACCTCAGAGACCATCTAGACCACCTCCTTCATTTTACAGATGAGGAAACTGAGGCCCAGAGAGGTGGGGACACTTGTCTGGGACTCACAATTAGTCATAAGCTTCAAAGGCAGAGTTTGAATCCAAGCTCTCTGGTTCCAAATCTGATACTCTTCCCACTGTCTTCCACACCCACACCTAGTAGAATGTAAGCTTCCTGAGGACAAGGATTGTGTCTTGAGTGGGGGTTTTGTTTATTTTTTAATCTTTGTTAGGGATCTAACACATAGCACCATGTTTTGCATATTAAGTATTTATAACCTCAAAGGGTATAACACAAGAGAGACCTGAATATGATTTTCATTATTCCTATTACCTGTGTCTGTCTCCCAACCTAATCCCTCTAGGGAGGAGAATAAGCATTTATTAAGCACCTACTACATGCCAGGCATTGTGCTAAGCACTTTACAAATATTATCTCATTTGATACTCAAGACAACTTGGGAGGTAGATGCTTTACAGATCAGGAAACTGAGGAAGACAGAAATTAAGTGACTTTCCTGGGGTCCCATAACCAGTAAGTATTTGAGGCTAAATTTGAACTCAGGCCTTCTTGACTCCAGGCCCAGCGCTCTATCTAGCTGCCTATAGCAACCCTCCAGCATTCATGAGGTCATTTCAAACATTCAGACTGTTCACCTCACAGATCCAACTAGGACTGCATAAATAGCGTTCCTATTTATAAATTCCTCGTTACTCTGCTTGTGCATTTGTCTTGAATCCAGATGCATTTGTCAAGTTTCACTTCTTCATCCAGTACTGAGTTTTTGGGTTAAAGATGAACATAAGAAAAAAACAAGAATTCTTTGTGTTTCTAAAAAAAAATTTATCCATACCTATGATTTTATCAGGCTGGGGGGCTCCCAACATGTAAATTCCCTCCTAAATCTGATTTATAGTTTTAAGAGAATTGCCTTAATTACTGAGAGATGTCTTTGCCTTGAAGATTACACCTATAGTTGGTATCAGAAGCATATCTTGAACTCTGGTCTTCCTGATCCCAAAGCTGCCCCACCCTGCCTTTTACTTACTTTTTGAAAAATATATGCAGCAATATATCCAAAAATTGCATACTTTTTCCTGGGGGGAGGGGGGTGTAAATCCTGAAACTATGGGTGGTAGACTTTAGTTTCAAATTTAATAAGTGAATTAATCCAAGAATTTCTTATTTGCAAAAGTTGCTCAGTTCGTGACTTCTTTGGGGGAGTCTATGTCAAAACAGAATCAGTTACTTTTTAAAAAATTTAATTTGTTAATTTAATTTGATTTGTTCATTTAGTTATATAGCTAGTAATTTGTGCCATGTGTGAGCAATTGACAGGATATTGCTTCTGCATGGCCCTAGCTGAGAGAGCTAAAAACCAGTGAGGAGCTCTATAAAGACCGAAAGAAAAGGAAAATGATCCGAAAATGGAAGGGACTGGCTTGGTGATCAATGAGTTCCTTATCAGTGAAGGCCTTTGACCCGAGGCCAGGTGATCAGTTGTCAAACGTCTTGTAGATAAGAATTCCTCAATCAGATGGGTTTTAGACCAGATAACCACAAAGATCACTTCCAGCTCTCTGATGGTTTTAGGACCGAATATCTAAGAGAGAAATAATATTTTAAAGAACTATGATGTCATTAGGCCGGCAGCCCCAGGAATTATTTTATACTGACCAATGAAACTATCTAGTTTGTGAATGTTTAGAGAAGAAAGCAGCAATCATTAGAAGTTAGCATGGGTTCACTAAGAATAAGTCATATCAAACATAAGTAAATTTCTTTTTTTTAATTGCCAAACTGGTTACCATAGACATAATTTATCTGGATTTCCATGAGCCAGTTAACAGTCTCTTATTATATACTAGTAGACAAATGGGACTCCGTCAGTAGTGATGAGTGACACATGGCCCCATCTTTCGTATTATCTGTGCCCTTCTCACTTAAAGAGAATTTAGTGAATACTTCATATGTGCTCAGGACTATTCCTGTCACCCTCTGCTCTTAATAGATCTTTTCTGAAGATCTGTCTTCAGTGCTAGGTTCCATATTTCAGAGAGGACCTCAGTAAGCTGGGGGTTACCCAGAGGAGAGGGTCTAGGCTGGTGAAAAGTCCTGACTTCGTTGTGAAGAAGTGGTTGAAAGAATTGAGGATGTTTAGCCAGGAGAAGAGAAGACTCATCTGATAGCCATGGTCAAGTGTTTGAAGGGCCATCCCCTGGAAGAGAGGTGAGACTCGTTCTTCTTGACTCCAGACTAAGCACAATGGGGAGAAGTTATAAAGAAATAGATTTAGGCCTGGAGTCAGGAGAAACTTCCTAGTAATTAAAACTATTCCAAAAAGGAACGGGCTGCCTTGGGATGGGGGGAGGGAGCTTCCTCCTTCCTGGACAGCTTCAAGGGAACCACCTGTTAGGGATGTTATAGAGGCGGTGCTGGGCCACTGCCACCTGTTAGGGATGTTCTAGAGGCGGTGCTGGGTCAGGTGCTTGATAAATTGGACCGCCTCTGAGCTCCTTTCTGGTTAGAGAGTCCTCATTTCTGCAAGGCTCCATGTTCACCTCTACGACTATAGGGATATGAAGGAAATGTAAGCCATGGCCCCTGCCCTCAGGGAGCTTACTGACATGACGCAATTGGAGTGACGTATGGCCTGCCATGATTATATACTATATAGAGAGACTCAGACCTGGAGTCAGGAAGACTTCAGACACTTACTAGCTATGTGAACCTGGGCAGGTCGCTTTGCCTCAATTTCCTCATCTGTAAAATGGGGTTGTGAATATCAAATGAAATAATAACTGTAAAGTTCTTAGCACAGTGTCTGGCACATAGTAGGTGCCATTTAAATGTTAGTAATCATCATTATTAAATTGAACAACCATAAGAACTAGGAGAGTTCCAGGGAGGGAAAGATCACTTTGGAATAGGAGAGTCTGGGGAGACTTAATCAACAAAGTAGGATTTAAGGTGGGTCTTTAAGTGTAGAGACAGTATAATGTAGTGGGGAGAGAGCAAACCTCTGAGACAAGAGTCCTACTTCCAATGCCATACTGACTGTGTGACCTTAGACAAGTCACTTCCTTCTCACTGCCTTAGGCAGATCTCTAAGCCAGGAAGCAGGTGCCAGACTGTGTTGAGGGAGGGAGTTTCCTCACCTGGGAGTTCCCTACAGGTCCAGCCCCCATCTCTTGGATTTGACATGGCAAAGGTAACAGGGGGTGCATTCCAGGAGGGGCCACTGCACAGCCAAAAGCTCAGAGGCAGGAATGAGAGCAGCCTGGAGCAGGGAGGAGAACAGGCTCACATGAGCAGGGAGGGATCTTGATGTATAATCTGTGACAATTTTTTTTTTAATTTCAGGCTAGCTTCCCCTGCCCCTGAGCACATTTCCTAATTACCTCCCTTCTAGTCACGAAGGGCTCAAGGAACACCCTAAGCTAAATAGAATTGGGAAGGCCGAGCCGATTTTTAAATCCCGGACAACACATTCCAAGTGTAAATCATTTGGAGGTTGTCTTGACATTTCCACCACTGCGGTAGCTCTTGCCCATTGAACCCACCCCTGTCTGGGCCCACCGCTCCTTTTGCATGATGGATCTGGGGATTTGGAGTCAAAGACCTGAGTTCAAGCCCCACAGTGACCTTGGGCACATAGTAGGCACTTAATCGAGCAACCTATTCCTAGAAGGCAGGCTCAGCAGGACAGTGAATAGAGCACTGGGCCTGGAGTTCAAATCCTTATTCAGACACATATAACAAGTAACATTTTCATGCTCATTTGTCAAAACATTGGATCTTTTACATACTGCAAGTGATTCACATATCCATGTATGACAAAGCTCAGCCAAAACAATCCCACTTTTTTTCAATGTCTATCATATCTCAGCATGTCACAAATTGTTGCATGAACATCAAGATTGTGTTTGATTTTTCACTGAGTGACCCTGAGCAAGTCACTTAATCTCCTTGTATCTCAGTTTACTCAACTGTAAAATGGGAATACTAACAGCACCCATTTCTCAAAGTTGTTGTGAGAATCAAATGAGGTAATATTTGTAAAAAAACACAGCACAGTGCCTGGCACATAGTAGGTGCTTAATAAATGCTTGTTTTCTTTCCTTAATAAATGCTTATTGACTAAACTGAGTTGACCTCTCACCTCAGCTTCATCTGCAAAGCAAGGGTAAGGTTAGACTAAATTATCTTTTTAGGTCCTTTCAGCTCTGACGTTCCATAATTCTTGTCCAGATGACTGAAATAGTCATCTTCCTGACAAATCACTAGGACTACGTCACTCTCCTGCCAAATTAAATATAAACTCCTGACTCTGCCGTCCAAGGCCAGCCACAATCTGGTCTTAAGCAGTCAATCAATGAGCAAGCATTTATTAAATGCCAACTATGTACCAGGCACCCCACACCCCAAACCATCCTAGCCTTAACTCATACGCTTTCACACATATTCTGCGGCACAGCCATGCTCTCCACCCCCCATTCTTGTCCTATGTTGAGGCCTTGGTTTATTATGCCATTCCCCCTGCCTAGAATGACTTTTCCCTTCATCTCCCCCATCTCTTGAAGTGCTAAGGTGGTTCCCTTCCTGCAGGGCCCAATTCAGGTGCCACCTCTTGCTGAAGCCTTCCCCAACCCCATCCCCTGCCCCTACACAATCTTGCCATCCCTGAATTTCTCATGGCATTTTGCTCCGACTATCCCATGGCACTTACCTCCTTCCCCTGTGGGTCATGCTTTTGGAGGTCTTGGCCTTCCCCTCATTAAAGCATAAACCCCATGACAGTAGGCCAGTATTGTAGCTTTCTTGGTATCCCCCAGAGTGAACATAGCACAGGCGTATATTGAACTGAACTGAATTAAATTAAATCAGCTCTCCTTCATTAATCAGATAAAACTGATATCTGACACTATCTCCCTATAGTTTTACCATTAGCTGCCTGCTTGCATCATCACCCTTAATGGAAAAGAAAGAATTCACAAAGGCCAGAGAGAAGGGATCCTTTTGCATCCCCAGAGACCTTCCAAGTCAAGGCTCAGATTCCAGAAAAGCCACAGCAGACAGAATGATTTTGGCTGCCTTGATTTAACTTGGTCAAGATATAGCCTGTCTTGGAGTTGGAGATAGATGATTTCTTTGCTTCAGTGAAAATTGAATGCATCATGCTGACCTGTACCCAGCATGAACCTGGCAAAAGGGCTACCTGGCCAAGACAGATAACTTGTTGGACATCTTTGTCAGGAGTCAACCTGATTTCTTCTTTTTTCCCCAGTTCCCTGTTCCTGAGAATCTCTTTGCTGGGACCTCGTCCCATTTCTCATTCAAAGCCTTTCATGATCCAGCCCCTTCCTATCTTTCCAGATTTTACACATTTGACACCCTTCTACATACTCTGCAATCCATGACAGTGTTACAACATTGCTGTTCCCAGTACTTAGCATAGTAGCTGGCACATAGTAGGTGCTTAATAAATATTCACTGCTTAATAGATTGCCTGCATAGTTCAGTTCCACCTCTGAACACCTGCATTTGTAGTGGCCATTGCCCATGGCTGGAATGCCCTGCCCCCTCACCACCTCCTCCAGTCCCTTTGGCTTCCTTCAAGACAGCCCAGGTCCTACCTTCTGCAGGAGGCCTTTCCCAGGTGCCAGAGCCTTCGCCTCTACCACCTTCCATCTGGTCTGAATATAGCTTGTTAGTACCTGGTCATTTACATGTTGACTCCCTCATTAGCATGTGAGCTCCTTCAGGGCAGAGAAAGTGTTTTCTGTCTCTGTATCCCCAGCACTTAGCAGAGTGGCTGGTATACACTAAGTGCTCAATAAATGCTTGTTCACTAACTGATCAACCCTCCTCTAGGTCTTTGTGACCTTCTCTGTAAAAACTGTGATCTGTGGCCATTCAAAGTACAGCATACAGAATTAGGAAACTTTAAGTATTATGAAAATTTTGAAAAGAAAGGTGGACCAGCCATGTAACAAGATCAAGAGTAAACTGATAGACAGCCCATGACCTGTGCTAGAACCCAGGGAATTTTTTAAAAAATGATCTAGAAGAAGACCTCCAATACATTGTGCCTCCAGCCTTCTTTGGAAGATCCATGGGAGAATATGGCCAAGAATCACGCAAGATGAGAAAGTGGACTGATGGAGAGAAATAAAGAGGATGCAGACAATGACGATGACAACGATGATGATAATGATAATAATAGTAATAATAACTGACCTTTGTATGCAGCCCTTTAAAATCTGAAGAGCCCACTGATGTATTTTTAATAAGCACTACCCACTTTGGGTGAGTTTACTTATAAAGTGCTTGTGGTAGACCTGACATCCTGTATCTTTCTTGCCTTGAGATATTGGCAAATGCATTTGCCAAACTGAGGGCCCAACTCGAATCAGTGAATTACATCTGAGCATTAAAGCAGTGTAGATCACTGGACAGATCGCTGACATCTGGGCCATAGGTAGGACCTGATTTCCAATCTGCCCATTTATTAGCCTTGTGATCTTGGACAAGTCACTTCCCCTCTAGGCCTCAGTTTCCTTCTCAGTAAAAAACAGGGGGTGGTTAGGCTAGATTGTCTCTGAGGTCCCTTCCGGCTCTAAATCAATCAACTATAACAAATGGTTTCTGTCTGGGAGTCTCCTGGAACTTCAGAGGTATCAGGACCAGCTTCTTCTGTTATAACCGCCACTCCTCTCTTTTCAGATGGCAGAGCAGCTGATGACCCTGGCTTATGACAATGGAATCAACCTGTTTGATACAGCCGAAGTCTATGCTGCTGGAAAGTAAGTGTGCTTTTTATATTCCTTCCCTTATACTTTCTCTATCCAACCCTTCCTTAGGAATCTATCAGGACCAGGGAGCTCATGCTAATTTTTGCTATAGCTGTTTTTGCTAATTTTTCTATGGCTAATTAGTAGGGGACCGTGAAAGGGTGTGCTGGTAAATATTTAACAACCAGCTTTCCAGGAGGGGAATGGCACAATGTGCACAGAACACATTTTAAAGTTTAACCTTCATGTTAACATTTTCTCCATCACTTTTTTAAATCTAGACAATCAGCCAAACAATAAATCAAACCGTTGTATTGTTTGCCAGTTTCTGAGGTATAATCTGCCCACACTGAGCATTAACTAAGGTACAAGCTGGCTCCAGCACCCTACTGAAACTGTGTAGATGGAATGTAGCTGGCTGCCCACCATGGATCCAAGAATTGTCATAAATATGCTTCCCATCCAATTTTTTTTACTTTAAATTGCTTTGTAGAAGGAGTGTAGTTGAGGCAGAAGGGAGAAGCATTACTGAAAGAATCGCAATGTTTGTCATTGGAGTCGACTACAGATCACCTAGACAGAAGGTGGAGATGGATGACGCATTTGGGAAGCAGATCACAAGCCTGCCACAGAGGCATGACATGTTGTTGGTGGGGTACTTCAACTACCCAGATATCTGCTAGAGCTCATAAGAACTTCTTGGCTTGCCTTACTTAATGACATTTTCATCCTCCAAAAAGCAGAGAAACCAACAACGAGAAATTCTGTCATGGGTCTTATTCTCACAAACAGGGAGGAACTTGTTTTCTGGGGTAGAAATGATAGAAACCCTGGGGGAAAGTTACCAGCCCATACGAGAGAATGTGGGAGGGGAAGAAATCTAGACATAATCTGATATGCACCCTAGCTTTTGGAAAAGGATATTTCAGGGAGTATGGAGGAAATATTGGTGGGTGCCATGGACCAAAATGTTACAGGGAAAGATCAGGAAGGATAAGACATGCTTCAGAATGAAATTCTGAAGACAGAAGGGGAAACTGTTCCAATGAAGAGGGAAAAATAGGAGTTGTAAGAAGAGACATATGTGGTTGCCCAGAGAACTCATCAACCATCTTAGATTTTTAAAAAGAAATGTTCAGAAGACAGGGCAATGCCAGATTGAGAGAGATTGAATACAAATGTAGCACATTTATGCCACAATGTCTGGGATACTCAATCTCAGAACGGACCAAGGCTGGCCAGGGAAATTAAGGACAACAAAAAGGGGGTTGTTTAGTTAAGCTGGGAAAAAAATAGGATCAGAGAAAGGATGGGATCTTTCTTTGGGGTAGATGGGATAATAGCCCCCTCACTGCCCTTGATAAAGTCAAATCACCCAGCCCAGGCAAACTACATCCTGGGGTCCTGAAAGAGCCAGGGGCTGTGATTGCCTGGGCTGCTGTCAATGACATATGAAAGCTCATGGAAAAAGGGAGAGATACCATAAAATTGGAGGAGGATAAGTATCCCCAGCTTTCCAGAAAGAGAAGAGCAGAGGGTCTACTAGTTATAGGCCAATGGCTTTGACTTCAACTCCTGGGAAAATCCTAGAAAGGATTGTTAAAGAGATGGTTGGCAAACATCTAGAAAGGGCAGCAGTGATTACAAAGGGCCAGCAGGGCCCGATTAAGGACAGGTCACGCCAGGCTCTCCTCATTTCCTTTTCTGACAGGATCAGTCAGCCAATAAGCAGTTGTTAAGTGCCTTCGGAGACAGAGACGTGTGGACCATGCCATCTAATATGATTAGATGTATTCAGAACTAGGTAAATGGCTGCACTCAGAGCAATTGTTAATGATTTGACGTCACCATGGCCAGTCTTCAATGGAGAGATTTGTGCTTGACCCTGGGCTGTGTAACAGTTACATCAATGACTTAGCTAAAGGAACAGATGGCTCACTCAAAGTATTTTTAGATGACCCCAAGCTGAGAGGGATGGCTCACACAGTGGATGACCAAGTCAGGATCCAAAAGGATCTTGACTGACAAGAGCCCTAGGCTGGATTTAATAAGGGGAAACCCGGAGGGGATAAATGTAAAGTCTTGCACTAAGGTACAAAATATCAGCTTCACAAGGACAAGATGGCAGAGGCCTGGTTGGGAAGTTGTTCATTAGATTGTGAGCTCCCTGAGGCAGGAACTGCCATTTGCCTCCTTTAGTATCCCCAGCACTCAGCACACTGTCTGGCACATAGTAGGTGCCTAAATAAATGTCAGATGCCTAGCACATAGTAGGTGCTTAATAAATGTTGTTTGTTTTAGTTGCTCTGAAATGAATCCAGGACATGAAGCTTAATATGAGCTTGCTGTCAGTGCAACGGGATGGAAAAACCAAAGAAGCAGATGCCCTTTTGGTCTGCATTAGGAGGGCTATAGCTTCTAGAAAGAGGGAGGTGAAAGTCTTGTTGTACTCTGCCCTTGTCAGGTCTAATCTGGAGCATCCAATTCAGTTCAGAGCACCTCTGGTTATAGAGGATATTGGGTGTCCTGAGGAGGGTATCCAGCTAGGATGGTGAAGGACCTTGAATTCATGTCAGATGAGGCTCGGCCAAAGGAACTGAGGGTGTTTAGCCTGGAGAAGAGAAGACTCAGGGACCAGGGGATGTGGTCGCTGCCTTCAAGTATTTGAAGGGCTGCTGTCAAGGGAACAAGGATCGTTAGAGTCGTTCTGTTTGGCCCCAGAGGGCAGAACCAAGAGCAGTGGCAGGAGTTGCAAAGAGGCCAGTAGAGGTTTGATGTCAGGAGAAATTTCTTCCAGTTAATGCTATCCCAGAGTGCAGTGGGCTGCCTTGAAGGGGCTGGGTTCCACTTGCACAGAGATTTTCAAGCAGAGGCCAGATGGCTACATGTAAAGTATGTCCCGATGGGGATTACTTTCTGTATCAGCTGGACTAGGTGGGGGCTAAGCTCAGAGTGAACAAGACCTGGGTTCAGATCCTACTTCTGATGCTTCCTTATTGACCCTGGGCAGCAGTAAGAATGATAAGAAGAGCCAACATTCATATAGGTTTGTAAGGTGCTTTGCACACATTATCTTATCTGACCCCTGCAAAGGAAAGGCTACTGCTATGCCCATCTTACAGATGAAGAAACAAAGGCCCAGAGATGTTACTTGGCTTGCCAGCTAACAAATACTTGAGGTGGGGTACTTCTATCCAGCTTTCCTGACCCAAATCCAACATTATCCGTTATGCTTTGTTCCTTGGACAGCTCTCTTAACTTGGGGTCCATGAAATTGGGTTTTTTTAAATATATTTTAAAATATTTTAATAACTGTATTTCAATCTAATTGGTTTCCTTTGCAATCCTATATATTTTTTCTTATGCATTTAAAAACATGATTTTGCAAAAGGGTCCGTAGGCCTCAGTTGCTTTGTCCAAAAAATGAGGATAACAAGAGTTGTTGAGAGGCTAAAATAAGATAATATATGGAAAGTGCTCTGAAAACCTTGAAGCTCTGTAGAGATAAATTGATAAATTTTTTAGCTAATTAATTTATTAAGCATCTATTATGTGCCAGAAATTAGTTGGCACAATGGGTAGAGCACTGGACCTGGAGCAAAGACCCAAGTTCCAATCTGGCCTTAGACACTTACTAGCTGTGTGACCCTGAGCAAGTCACTTAACCCTGTTTGCCTCAGTTTCCTCATCTATAAAATGAGCTGGAAAAGGAAATGGCAAACCACTCCAGGATCTTTGCCAGGAAAACCCTAAATGAGGTCACAGGCAGTTGGACGCAACTAAAAAGCAATTCAACAATAACAACAGCAATTTGCTTTCTTTGGCTTTGGGAAGTTATTACTCCCACTGAGGCAGGCCCATATCATGGCGGGAGCGGGAACAGGGTTCTTCTTCATAGGCTTAATGAACTTCTAATCGAGTTGGAACAGGAAAGAGCCTTCTGTCCCCCTGGTGCCCACGGTGATCCACCGAGCAAGGCACTTGATTAAGCCATCTTGCTCAGCTCTCCTACGTGCAGATGACCTGTGCCTGGTCCAGTGTTCCTTGATACATTTTTTTTTTCTTAATGCTGCAATTAGGGCTGCCAAGAAGAGAGGACCTTTTACCCTGGAGTACCGTTTTAAGCACTTAGTATCTCTGCAATGATCTTTCTTCCTCAATTATGGAAAAGCACAGCCCACTCCAGCCCCAGCTATTGGCTTAAAATTCAGAGAGTGGATGTAATCAAATCATTCCACTCACCTGCACCCAGTTTCCGAAAGCTATCTTTTGTTTGCTAAATCATTCACTTGAACCTTTTGTCAGTTCTTCACCATGGCCAGAATTTCATGAGATGGGGTGGTATAAGGAATACAGAATCTAATATCAGAAAGAAGTCTGGGGTTCAAAATCTGGATCTGCTATTTACTACCGGGGTGACCCCTGTGTATGTTACCTTCCCTGGACCTCCCTTTCCTCATTTTTGAAACAAAGAAGACTTTTCTTGTTTGTTTTCTACCCATCAATGTCATTCATCATTGATTAAGCACCTACTGTGTGCCAGGTGGCTAGGTAGTTCAGTGGGTAGAGCATTGGACCTAGAGTCAGGAAGATCTGAGTTCAAATACTTACAAGCTCTGTGACCCTGGGCAAGTCACTTAACTCCTATTTGCCTCAGGTCCTCATCTGTAAAATGGGGACACATAAAATTGTCTTGAGGAAGAAGGAATGGCCAACTGCTCCAGTATCTTTTCCAAGAAACCACCCGCCCCCCCAGACAGAGATAATGGGGTCATGTAGAGTTGGACATGACTGAACGATTCAACAACGATGAATGTGCCAGGCACTGTGCTAAGTACTGGCGATACAAAGAAAGGCCAAGCAAGGTCTCTGCTCTGAAGGCGTTCACGGTCTAATGAAGGAGAAAACATGCATATAACTATATGTATAAGATATATGCAGCGTAATTGGGAAATGATCTCAGAGGGAAGGTGGTCGTGTTGAATGGGACCCACCTACAGAAAGGCCTCCTG